GGGGGGGAGGTTGGCCAAAGGGCGGTCAACTGGGGGACATCTCTAATAGTGTCAACAATAAAAGAATGTCAAATCCATTATGGTGTAAGGATTTTTAAAAAATAATATTTGGATAAGGAAGGTCTTAGTCAGCAATTCAAAAACTCAGAAGTCTCTTGTTGCAGAATCTCTATGGGCTGAAATGCGAGGTTTTCTCGGAATACACGTGCATCGGGTCCATCTGTCACACTGAGATAATGATCCCTACCTGGGAGAAGTGTTGGGATGATTAGAAATAATATACATGAGCCCCTTAGCGCGCTATCTGGCACATAGAGTGGGCCCTCAAGAAATGTCAAGTATTAAACGTAACTAGATGCAAGAGAAAAGAGTAAGAAATGAGAACCACCTAAGATTTCCTAAAGATGCCAAACTCATATCTCATTCCTGACTGGGCTTCACTTTAGAAATGTTAATGGAACTGGAGAATATGCAAATGTAACCTTTTCTCCATTAAAACTTGTCACGCAGACCAACAATATTGTGACTAAATCCTCACTCTTATAGGGACTGTCTGGGTTGTTAAAACTACAACGTGCTCAGCACAGAGCTAAATAGCAAACAGTTTGAAATTCGTGTCTGTTACACTGGCACTGACACAAAAGAGTTGATGTACTGTCACAACGTTGTATCACATTCAGTTCTGCACTGAAGAGAGCCCAGGACAACCAGAGCCTTCAGGATGCAGAATGTGATTTTCGGCAAAGCTTTAGGGCGGAGGGATAATGCTCACGTTGATGGATACCTCCGTCATTTCCACTGGGGGCAGGGCTGTAATGACATTGTTTACATATGAAAATCTCAATCATTTCTAAACTTTTGAACTCTAACAAAGAGTTTTAAAGACCATACTGGCTTTAATTTTTACACCCAGGGCCATGAGGTGGCAGGCTTTGCCTTTGATTTGTTTGTGGTGATAGGGCTGAGTGGGTGTCGGGGTGGGAGGGGTGATCTACAGGGAGTGGTCATAAAAATGTTAGTGGATCTTTTGTAATGACAAAATGGAGATTTTTTAAAAATACATTTTATTGATTTTTTACAGAGAGGAAGGAAGAGGGATAGAGAGTTAGAAACATCAATGAGAGAGAAACATCGACCAGCTGCCTCCTGCACACTCCCTACTGGGGATGTGCCAGCAATCAAGGTACATGCCCTTGACCGGAATCAAACCTGGGACCTTTCAGTCTGCAGGCCAACACTCTAATCACTGAGCCAAACCAGCCAGGGCAAGATATTTTAATTCTTGTTGAAGAAGGAGAACCTACCTAATGATAGACATGTGGAAGCATTAATGTCTTAATCCTCATTTGTAGAGATTCTGCAACCAAAACAAAGAAGCTGCCCTATATGGTTAATCCCATTTAAAAACATCCTGTGTGTTTATATAAGCAGTCACACTAGAATGATGACTGTCTAGAAAGAAAGCTCAATTGTTATATATTTTAGAAAGAAATGGCTTTCTCCAAGTTTAATATTTTGAGAAGCTGTAACTCCCAAAACCACATCATAAGCATTAGTTCATTCAACCATGCCTTTTTCCCCATGGAGCAGCCACCTTGCTCTCTGGAGGTGGGCTCAGCTCCTGGGGACCACCCCACTGGCAGCTCCCTCCTCTTCTCATCTGAAATCTGGATTACAAATCACACCCTCCCTTCTTACAAAAAAAAAAAATGAAGCAACTCCTGCAAACCATCTATTATGATATGATAAAACAGAAATAAGAAATCAAGCACACAGAAGGAAAATTTAAATATGATGAGCATAAGGTCAGCATATTTGCTTAATTTGTTTTAAGTTTATCTCTTTCCTTACTAGTAGCCCTGCCAACAGGAGATAAATTAATACAGGAAAGAAGGGGCAGTTCCTGTTCAAGGAAAAGACAGAATGGCCACTGC